TGTAGATTGTACCTCATTCTTTGTTGTTCGTACGACAAATGCTTCAATGACGATTGCTCCATTGATGATATCCTACAATAACTGCATTTTCCACTTCATTCTTGGTCACGTATATCTAACCCTTACCTTAAACCTAACTAAAATTCAATGGTTACCCTAACCCTAAACCTGTACCTTCTATGAAATAAGGCATAGAGCAATTATCACCGTAGCCGATGTTAGAGAACCTCTCTCTTATCTGAGGCCAATGAGGTGAGCTTCATCATAAATGTGAAACAAAGACTAATGCTTTTTGTCGCACTTTGTCTTTTCATCTAGAAGCTGAACTATGGCAGACAGCATCTCTGATGTGGACCATCCGATTCCTGGGCTCTTGGAGTTACCCCTAGCCTTCAACAGAAGGAGGCTGACTGGCAAAGAAGAAGCCATAGCCAGACGTAAACTAAATAGACGTCTCCCTCTGTTGTGTAGAGAGCTAGCGGATCGTCCAATTCGTCATGGTAACAGAAACTATGTGGGGATGCTGTATTACATACTACAAGAGAAGGACAAAGCCATTGAATGCTGGGAGAGGACAGTAGAAGAGGATCCTACAAACCTCAATGCCATTAAAGATCTATGTACTGCATATGCCAAGCTTGGAGACCGTAAGGAATCATGTAAGTGGCAGTCGCGTCTAGAGAAGACCCAGAGCAAACTATCTGGCAATCCAGACGATGAGAAGAGAGTGTATGCTCGGTGCAGAGCTGAGCAAGCCTTTGCTGCATGCTGGGACTTTACATGGAGTAAAGGAGTGGCACCAATGGAAAAAACTGTGAAAAGATTCGAGTCAGCTCTGGAGTATGCAGATAAATTGATCAGCCAGGATGAGAAAGAAGATTGGCACTTGGCGATTGGGCAAGCCTATGAACGCCTATCCCACAGACACAAACGTAACAACAATATTCCACAATACTTACAGTCTATCAACAAGGCAGCACAACATCTAGATTTTTCCATATCTTCCTCACAGCACACCTTGCACAAGGCTGAGGCATGGGGTGTCCTTGGTAGTGCCTTAACCTATGATTCAGGCGACACACATTTTTCAATACCTAAATTTATCAATACCAAATACAGAGAATATTGGTTTGCACCCTCACGATGCTTTGACGAAGCACTTTCCCTTGACCCTGGTAATGCATGGCTTTTGGGTAGCTATGGTCATCTCCTCAGAAAACTTCGAAATTATTCAGCAGCAATTGAAAAGTTTGATGAAGCAATTGAGAGTGACCCAAGTCCTTCATCATGGCTCTCTTACGACAACCGATCCAAGGCATACACAAAATTAGCAAAGAAAACAAATGATAAGCAACTGAAGGAAAAGTATCTTCGCCAAGCAGCTGAGGACTCAAAGATGGCAGACATCTCTAATCCAAATCCTGGTTCCAAGTCACAGAGGGGCGAAATAGCTCATGACATGGCTGAATCTTCAGGCACTGATAAGGAAAAGAAACAGTATTCTTTGCAAGCCCTTGGACACTTCACAGAGTCCTTACACATCCAAGATGGAATGGGCATATGTAATAATCACTTAAAGCAGGGTAATTGCCTTCTGAAACGTGACAAGTGGTCAGCAGTCCAATCTTATAAAATGGCATACAGTACGTGCCCTCCGAATGCCTTCCAGGAAAGAATAGCATCAGAGTACCTGCTTCCATATCAGCTAGACCACTATAAGGATGAACAAAAGCCCAAGAACCTTCTTGCAGAGTTGGCCTACTGGATTACTGATGCTAGTCTACGACATCCATCCATGAACTCAATTTTTGAGATCTTGGGTAAGCTGGCTAGAAACAGATTTCAAAATGAAATCCTGGATGTAATGGAGTACATAGTAGTCTATCAGCCAACTGTGTTGGGTGTGGACATAATGATTGATGAAGGCTTCATCACCTTGAGGAAGACAACTTTCAAGAGAGAAAACTTCAAGAGACTGCGCAATCTGGAAAGGCAGCATACAACCAGAATGCATTCTTCAACATCTCTTGGCCCAACCACTCCCCTGCCTCACCATCAGCCTCCAGAGAAAGCAAAGAATCCAAAATGGCAGAATGACTTCTACGTCATCACACCAGTAGAATCAACTCAGTGGGTACAGTACTTTCTCCTTCCTGGTATGGAGTGCAACTTCTTCTCTCTTAAAGGCTTCTATCAGCAAAGGGATCAAGTAATAGGGAAACTGAAGGTGAGATCTCAAGCAGAGGCAATCTCAAATTCTGCTTCCATCGTCATTGTTTACTCTGGGTCTTTCTCAGATGATGAGGAATGTATGCGTCTCTTTGGGACTGCATGTGAAACAAGGCCAAATGATTCTAATTATTTTATGAGAAAACAGTAATGTGTTCATGATGTATATAACATCATTCATGAAATGCTCAGTGAGATCTTTCTGAGATATGCCACCTGACACTTGCACGAATTTTGGTCCTGCACTGCCGTATCACACATGTCAAGTCATGTCATTTTGTTGAACACAGACGGTGAACAATGCAATTTGGGCCACGTTGTGCAGTCCAGTTCAGTTCATGACTTCTCTGGCTTGCCATAGCATGCATTGTCACTCTACGCTAACGTCAAAGTTGAACATTGTCCATGCACTGTCACATACTGACATGCACTCGTACACTTTGTCATAAAATGGTTTTATCAAGGTTGTGCACAGTTCACGAATTGTTCATGAAAGCGGCTTTAGAGAGTAAGTTGGGACAATGCACAGTTACTTCCTTCATTGCCACACATTGGCATGCCATTGCTTAAACCATGTAGTGTAAAAGTTTCATAGTGTTTACAAAACTAATCAATGGATAACATAAGATTAATGCTGTTCAGTGCCACTATGAAACATTCCATGTTTTCATATGAGTGGTAAACAAAAGACACACTGTATGGAAGATTTTGATATTTGTTCCCTAGGTTTTTCATCTTCTTGCAGATTCTTCCTCCATTCGTTCCTTTTCTTTCATGAGATGAATTTAATTCTTTAAAATGTTAAGTAGACGTATTCACCAAACTTCTCTGCAACAATGAGATATAGAATTTGTCAGAATAGGTACATGTAGAATATCTAATCATTACAAAATAGTGTGTTTTTTACTCTGATTTCAATAACAGAGACAAAAATGGTTAATTCCATCAACAATACACTTAAAGAGAAGGTTAAGCTCATGTCAAATGATTACATTAAAAAAAAAACGTGTGAAAGCAATTGGGCAAGGTTGGTAATATGTGTCACATAAGAAGTGGTATATACTGTGATGTTTTTTAATCATTGAAATTATAACAAATTGACCTGTCTAGCTCTAAGTCAAATGCATTGTACACAGATATGTGACAGGAATGGTTGGTCAAATACATTTCATCTATTTCTCATTATATTTCAATGAGGGCATATGAAGAGTACTTCTTATCAGGATACATTTCTAAAATGATAATCTATACTGACATACAAATAATGGCAGACCTGTCCCCTGAAGCCACCCAAGGGAAACAGAAAAGTGGCCACTACAGACAGGTAGGTTCTACAAAACACATCTCTCTCTCTTAAGCCTGAGTCATTACGGTTTTTGTGCTAAACGGTTAACCGTAAAAAGTATACGGGCGGTTTCGTTTAACCGTTTAATAATAATCTGAAAAAGTGAAAATACAGTATTTTTAATAGTGCTGTAGCTCGGAACCCTGCTGGTCTTCAGACTGTCGGGCTGAGCATTCCCAGCCCCGGACTATGGCAAAAATTGGGTCATCCTGATAAACAGAGACCAGTAATAAACAACATAAAACATGTCTTATTATTCCTCATCTGAATTTGATATCGTGATTAACCTTGCAAAGTTACTCTGTGAAGTTAGCTGATCTGTGACGTGTTTATATGCCTTTGCAATGCAATGTTTGCACATGGTCAGGGAGAGAGCTCCCTGCATGTATCATTGTCATATGAAATTATGTGGAAGTGTGTATCACACACACCCAAGACACACCCTGCAATGAGCTGATCCAAGTTAGTGACCAATCAGGAAGGTTCTCTAGCTATGTGGGTGGAGTTTGATACCAGCATAAATTACAGGTTGGTGACCGCGCGTGCTTTCACCGTACCCAGTTCAGTGGGAGGTCAAGAAGCCACGCCCACATGTGTGCATGTGACAAGCATGAGCTCTCCATCTGTGTGTATGTACAGTGTATTTGGGCGCCGGCGGTTCGTGTGTACATGTGTGTGTGACTGAGAGAGCATATGGGCTAGCATGTCCCTGCATGTCCTTGCATGGACGAGACAGGGACATGAGTGAAGATCGAAGTAAGAAAGGGTGGCTGTGTTAATCGGCTGAATTGAAGAATGATCAAAAACTTAAATTACTCACAAATAATATCCAAGACTTTGTTGATTGATATTTCTAAAACTTCAATTATTATTGTTATCAATATTTTTGTATTTTATTTATATATGAACATTATTTTAGGGGGCGATCGAGTCGGCAAGGGATGGATATTAATATTGAGAGAGAGAGAGAGAGAGACTCGGGGGAGAAGGGATGTGAGAGGAACTGACCATCGAATGTGTAAACATTTAGAAAGTTGTGAGCTGAGAGTGCAGTAATAAGAAAAGGTACATGAGCGATGAACACATTGCAGAGAGAAGGGAATAAAGAGGGTGAGAAAAGAGAGAAGGGGGCTGGTTGTTTTATTGTTTACAAATTCATTCATGGGGATTATACTGCTGCCAGAAAGCTAGCGCGCAGCGGCTAGGGTGTAATATTACACTGCGGTTTCTTTGATTATCTTTATCATCAGCTATTAGCACATTCCAAAATGTATGCAAATAACGGTTAACCGGAGCGAGAAATGCTAAACGGTTTTGATGAATGCGGTCGGATAACCGTCGGTTAAACGGTTTGACTCAGGCCTACTCTCTCTCTGTCGGGACACAACATGCATGACCACTATAACCAGGTTGTCTTTCATAACATGTAGGTTCTACAACAATCATTTGTCTCTCTTGAGGGAGACAAATTGCATGGCCACTACAGACAGGTGGTCTTTATAGAGAGGTGGATACTGAGACAGGTTTGACTGTATTTTGGTCATCTTTACCGGAACACAACCTTCTCTTTAGTTCCACCTACAATATATGTGACTGTATGTATTCACTTACCAGCTGACATCGGTCGGTTTGACGACACACTTTCTGTAGGCACCAGAAAGGGACAGGTCCCTGAATATGAGAAAACAGAAAGGAATTAAAAAAATATGTTATCTGCTGAGAGCCAAAAGGGAATTAATTCTATTAGCTTGTTTCTAAAGGATTTAAAATAGCGTTAAGTTCCGAATTTTCCCAGGTGCACGTTTTGGTATTGGTTATATACGGATTTGTATAACACTAATGAGTATCTGTCTCCAGAGGTGAATTTTGCCAAGTACGCTCACTTTCTCAATTCTGTGGAAACAGATCTGTACTTACGTCTTTAATAAGTCATGTGACAAAATGCATTACTGTGCCCATTAACCACATTCCAAAAATTCAGTGAACCTGCTGAAGTATGCTTAAGTTCTGTAGAAACAACACTGGTTGAATTTTGTTTCTGTTTACTTTCCGGGTCCATTCAGAGTACACAGTACTGTTACTTTCCAGGTCCATACAGAGTACATAATACTGTTACTTTCCGGGTATCGTGTAGAACAATGCTGTATGTTAGGCTATAATATAGTTCATGGTATTACTTTTACATTTAGGTACCTCTATCATGTGTAACATGTCTAGTACTAAGCCGACAATAACTCAGACTGAGGTGTATGGAAAATGTGTGTTATACCAAAGCCATATTGTATTCAACAGCTGTAAATTAATGTGCCATTATATCAGCACTAAGGTTTACAGGGAGTAAGAAGATTAAGGTGGAAAAATAGTGTGCCATATGCTAAATGTACATATATGTTACTTTTCATATTTGCAGTTTCATATTTTGATATAAAAACTGCATTTAGTACAATTTTTATGCTGTATAAATTATGTCCATTTGTCACATGGAATTTCAATCAAAATCAAGACATTTTAAAGTTGATGTATGGGAATACATCTACTGTACATGTACAGGTCAAGGTGAAGGAGTACTGTATATATTAATACCTAAAGTAACCAGATACCTATTTGTCTATTATCTAGAAGAATGTAAGCTTTAGATATCAATCATTGAGGTATGTTTATAAACATTTAAATTGTTATTCAATGGAGGAATTGAAATTGTTTCTAGTGAAGTCAGAAACATAATTAGGATAGGGTATTACGTAATCTGTAACTTAACCCGTTTCCCACAGGAAGGAGGAGGTCCCTGTATTAAATCTATGGCAATGAGATAATCAATACTAGGCTCACTGCTGCCATCATACGGTATTTACTCTTTTGTTAAGAGAGATTATTTTAAAGCATATAAACTGATGTTTCCTGAGGAGGAAAACATATTTTCAAATTTATTGACAATATCACACCATTACAATTAGTTTCATTATGGAATGTTGTGGTGGAGGGAAGGGTGGCAAGGACTACATGCCTAATTCAAATCAATGAAGAAATTCTTTATATTCGTTATTTTACATTGCAAGGAGATTCTGTTGACACAATCATAATATCTTTGTGTATTTGGTTATCTTTGGCATACTTGAAATTTTTCAGATCATCAGCTCAATTTTCAATTTTCTCATAATTTGTCTTTTTTTACTTACATACCTAGAAATTTTTACCATCTTCATTATTTTTGTTAAAATTATAAATTTCATTATTTCTTAACTATAATTATCACTAGTATAGTTATCTTTTCTATATATTTTTGTTGGGGGGGGGGGGGAGCTGACATACTGTTTGCAATCAATTTTCCCAGACTGTCAAACTGCAATAGCCCCATCTATAACTCTCTAACTGTATGCCTCATTGAAATGCAACCTGGTATTAATCCCAGCAGCATTCTAAAGATGACTGTAGACCTATAGCAGGGCAGACTTTATTCTCAATTTATTAATAGTGAATTTCCCTGACTGTAAAAAAAAAGAGCATTTCATATGCAAAATGTACCAATTAAAATGCACATGAGTTTCATCAGTAATTTGAGATAAGCATAGTCATCATTGAATTCTTTATAAGGCAGTGCTTGTAAACACCCCCCCCCCCCCCTCCCATTCAGAGATCATTTTCTTTGAAAGCATATTTGCCTACCTATTGGTATTTTTCAGCATTTCCACTGTCAGATCATCTTTGGCTAGTTCTTCAGTATACCATTCTCCGGCTAAAAGAATTTAAAAAAACAGAATCAAAATCATATGGTCATAGTAAACTCAAACTCAGGTGAGTGAAGTACACAACCCCCAAATAGGGAACATTCCCTTATCTTTCACCTGAAAATTGACTTCTGTTGTCTTGATTAATAAAAATAAAAAAATTCAATATATAAAGTTTGTTCATTTCTTTATTTTTCTTTTGTTTGTGTAACATTAATTTCTTGATTTAAAGTGAATTGAGCAATATTAATTGAATGTTGCACTATATGAGAAATAACTGTATGTATTAAAATGATAAGGTATTAACTGTTGGAGAAAAAAATATATACATTGGCTAAATAATAACTGGCTGCCTCTTATTGATACATTGATTGATTTTACAAATTGAAACTCACTCTCTCTCTTGAAGGGTAGGGTATTTTACACCACAACATGGATAGTGAATTTATCTCAATTCTCTTCTGTTGCCACTCTTCAATTCTATCTCTCTCTCCTTTCCTCCTCCCTCTCACTTTCACTCACTCCCTTCCTCCGTCCCTCCCTCCCTTCAACTCACCCACCCACCCTCTCCCTCCCTCTGTCCCTTCCTCCCTTCCTTCAACCCATCCACCCAACCTCTCCCTCCTTCCTTCCTTCCTTCCTTCCTTCCTTCTCTCTCTCTCTCTCTCTCTCTCTCTCCCTCCCTCTCTCCCTCCCTCCCTCCCTTCAACCCATCGAACCACCCAACAACCCTCGCCCTCCCTCCCTCCCTCCCTTCAACCCACCCAACCATCCACCCTCTCCCTCCTTCACTCCCTCCCTCCCTCCCTCCCTCCCTTCCTTCAATCCATCCACCCAACCTCTCCCTCCCTCCCTCCCTCCCTCCCTCCCTTCAACCCACCCAACCATCCAACCTCTCCCTCCTTCACTCCCTCCCTCCCACCCACCTTCCCTTCCTCCATCCTTCCCTACCTCACACTCACCTTTATGTGTAGGGTATTTGACACCATGGCCAGGCAGAGGTAACACCACATCATAGATACTGAATTCATTTTGATTCACTTCTGTTACATACTCGACCCTGGGTAAAACCAGATCTTCATCTGAAAAGGAGAACATGAATAAAAAATTTAAAAATTGCATTTAATTATAATCTTAGTCCTCATAATTACAATAAAGTGACCAAAATATCCGTCACAAAAATCCCTTCTCTGATCGACAGGTTTCTACTCATTTATTCTGCAGTGTTAGCTTAATGCACATGTAAAATTTAATCACATAATAGTTGCCATACTATTAAATATTCACATGGCTGATTAACCTAGATATTAATTGATTTCTCATACGTAATGATGACTAAACCTTTATTTTGATGTAAACATTCACAAAAGTTTATTTCAAACATTGCAGTTTTTTTTAGTCTGAAAGAAGGAAACTTTTCCATTACCATCTTGGATGTTCTTTGCAGACACTAGATCCCCGACAACAGGTGTGAAGCCATCCCTCTGTAACCTCTGTGTAGTGATGACGTTCCAAATATAACTCTGATAACTGTGCAGGTAGATGAGACGCGTATTGCGGGGAATCTAAACAAAAAGAAAGACAAGGAGGAATAATAATTGAGCACAGCCGATTACCTGGACTGAAATGAAAGATATGACATTGCACCTGATTTGGTTTGAAATGCAATTTGATTTGACAGTTTCCATTGTATATATGAAATGATGGGAAAGTCAGCATGCACAAGTTCTGGATAAGAAGAACTTCAAGATTTTTTATATTTTTGTCCCTGATTTAATATGATATAAGGTAAAACTTTTCATAATCATGCTTATTCTTTACGCAAATGATATGATAAATTATTCAGATGCTAATAAGAAGAAAAACAATACCATTATATCTAAAATTGTCATACATGTACTTGTTTAATCATTTGTGTGCCATGCAGTATACAAACATGAAGTATTAGCCTTTTGTTGTTTTTTAAATCTTGGCACACATCTGTGATAGAATCAATCTGAAACTATTTTGGGGGGAGTAACTGTTCTAAACTGGTTTACATTTGATAGGTAGGGAATTTTCTTTCTGAACTTTTGTGGGTTATTATTCCTTGATCACACCCCACGCACTCTTTTCATCAATCCTAGACACAAAATAAAATCTGATTGGATGATACGTGCAATGTGTTCCGTACGACATGTGACATTTCATCCACTTTTCATCAAAAATGAAAATCTCTTGATATGACTATTGACTATGAAAGGTTATTTTAGTATCACTAACATAATCAAATAGTCAATTTAAGATATTTTTCACTTAAGAGAGAAATAAATGGAAGAAAGATATATATGTCACATGGGACACATTGCGTGGAATGGCCATTTTATTTACTGAAGAGAAAGACGCCTGGTAATCATTCCTTGTCTTGAGTAGGCCTCTCAAAAGCTGCTGCTCAACGGAGCTCTTCTTATGATAAGGAAGCATCTCTAACGTGCTCTTAGCGTCCCTCTTCTTCATCCAGTGTTCCCTCCACTTGTTGTCATCTTGAGCTGCAAAAATAGAAGATAGTTTTAAAAAAGTATACTGTCTTTAGGAAAGGTTTATATCCTGACTAATGGCTTGTTCACACAAGACATGGGGAAATTATGTTTTCTATTTTCTTCCCGATGTGTAAGTCATTGGCAAAGTGGGGATGATTCACAGAATCAGTGGGCAGCAAAGGCCCGATGTATACCGGTACTCACTATCCGTGTGTTATGACATACCAGTACATAAATGCAAAGCTTATTACACTGTAACATCATTTAACCCCAAAAAATGTGAACGAACCCCAAGGTGGTAGAGGTAGTCTTCTTATTTATGGAGAGCAAAGCGTCAACCTCTTCATCCCATAAAACAACCAAACAGAATACATGTCACTGTGGAATTACTTTCTCTTTTTCATGCCATGACTGGATTCATTTTGATTGTTCATTTTGTTAGAGTTACAGTAATTTGTACAGAAAGAAGAGCTCTAACCTTGGCACTCCATAGATCAACAAATTAAGTGTAACCAGATTTAACTTTGTCTAAATAAGTCTGTGAATATGAGCCTGAATGTTAAAAGAAAGAATTAAGTGCCTAAACTCCATGTACATGAAACACTTTGGGATTTTTTTTTACTGAAACATGTTTCAATTCTTTAAAGCTGTGACATGACATTTTTTCACACTTTTCTTTCATTTCTGGGAATCACAGGGGATTGCTAAACAAAGGTCAGCTTTGCGAATGATTACACATCTCACGATCATGTGAGAGTACCATCACTTCATGTTATCCTGGATCCCAAGAGGAAATTAAAGCATTGTTGCAAGAGTGATGTAACAATAAAAGGCAGAATGCCAAACATTCCACATCCTGAGGTGCCTTGAAGCTGAGTTTCATCATCTCGGTATGATACACTGAAGCATCCAGGCATCCAATATTGCCAAGGACAACCAGCACCATTTCAGAAGAACCTCAGATTTCTTCGTTTCTGAGGAAAATTCCAATTGCTGTAGTTTTGTAAAAAAAAAATGTAATGGCTGATGTTCCAAAATTTCTTTGTAAACTTACAAAGGAGATGCAACAGGCTCAGTCGAAGAGCAGTGGTCTCATGACTGGGAGGTCCCCGGTCTGAAACTAAGTCAAGGCACTAGTGCCCATTGGCGAGGCATTAGTCCTCAATTATTAAGTCCTTTGGAGAGGACTTAAAGCCATCGATCCAGTGGTTGCTTACCTTCAAGCATGTACTTGCTTTCCTAGCGGTCAGTTAGTAGCCATTCACCAGAATTGCGAACTTTGCTATTGTACTACAAACCATAGCATATGCCGCGACTCAGTAAGGACCATTCCTGTCAAAATGCATCCACACTGCAGTCAGTTTATGCAACATCCATCACAACACTCCAATTTTTTAATGGACCCATACAGTTTGATTACAAAATTTGTGATTTTCTCAATTTCACAGGTTGCAATTTCACAGTGATCAAGGTTGCATGCTGGAAAGCTTTATTACTGAAGGACCATGTACCCCAACAGAGTACTCCAGAGTATTCTATACACTCATCCCTGGATTAGACACTGAAAAAATCCTAACCCTAAACCTAACCCCTCAAATCCAACGGGAGCTGTATAATAACCCTTTATCTTCAACAAGATAAAGCTCAGATTGTCACAAGAGCAAATGTCTAAGCACTCCAGAGGCTTACTGTTGGGTGGACCAATGGCATGCCTGATTGTTTACTATTATTCAGACTGTAGACCGCGCCCTGTTTGCAGGCGAAAACCTTTGTAACACAATACTTGTAACATAGGGTCTGAACTATGAGACTGTAGACCGCGCCGTTTGCAGGCGAAAACCTTTGTAACACAATACTTGTAACATAGGGTCTGAACTATGAGACTGTAGACCGCGCCCTGTTTGCAGGCGAAAACCCTTGTAACACAATACTTGTAGCACAGGGTCTGAACTATAAGACTGTAGCCTTCACGCTGTTTGCAGACCAAAACCCTTGTAACACAATCCTTGTAACAGGGTCTGATCTATGAGACTCTAAACCGCGCCGTTTGCAGGCGAAAACCCTTGTAACACAATACTTCTAACATAGGGTCTGAACTATGAGACTTGGACCGCACCCTGTTTGCAGGCGAAAACCCTTGTAACACAATACTTGTAGCACAGGGTCTGAACTATGAGACTGTAGACCGCACCCTGTTTGTAGGCGAAAACCTTTGTAACACAACCCTTGTAGCACAGGGTCTGAACTATGAGACTGTAGACCGCACCCTGTTTGTAGGCGAAAACCCTTGTAACACAATACTTCTAACATAGGGTCTGAACTATGAGACTGTAGACCGCACCCTGTTTGTAGGCGAAAACCCTTGTAACACAATACTTCTAACATAGGGTCTGAACTATGAGACTGTAGACCGCACCTTTTGCAGACACCAACCATGTAACACAGGGCCTAAACTACAAGACTTGGACCGCACCCCGTTTGCAGGCACACACCCATGTAAGACAGGCTCTGAACTACAAGACTTGGACCGCACCCTGTTTGCAGGCACAAACCATTGTAACACAGGGCCTAAACTACAAGACTTGGACCGCACCCCGTTTGCAGGCACACACCCATGTAAGACAGGCTCTGAACTACAAGACTTGGACCGCACCCCGTTTGCAGGCACACACCCATGTAAGACAGGCTCTGAACTACAAGACTTGAACCGCACCCTGTTTGCAGGCACACACCCATGTAAGACAGGCTCTGAACTACAAGACTTGGACCGCACCCTGTTTGCAGGCACAAACTATTGTAACACAGGGTCTAAACTACAAGACTTGGACCGCACCCTGTTTGCAGGCACACACCCATGTAAGACAGGGTCTGAACTACAAGACTTGGACTGCACCCTGTTTGCAGGCACACACCCATGTAAGACAGGGTCTGAACTACAAGACTTGGACCGCACCCTGTTTGCAGGCACACACCCATGTAAGACAGGCTCTGAACTACAAGACTTGGACCACACCGTTTGCAGGCACACACCCATGTAAGACAGGCTCTGAACTACAAGACTTGGACCACACCGTTTGCAGGCACACACCCATGTAAGACAGGCTCTGAACTATGAGACCGTTGACTGCACCCTGTTTGCAGGCACACACCCATGTAACCCAGGGTCTGAACTATGAGACTGTAGACCGCACCCTTTATGCAGACACCAACTCTGGTAACACAGAATCTGAACTACGAGACTGTAAACCGCACCCTGTTTGCAGGCACAAACCATTGTAACACAGGGTCTGAACTAAAAGACTTGGACCGCACCCTGTTTGCAGAAACACACCCTTGTAACACAGGGTCTGAACTATGAGACTGTTGACTGCACCCTGTGTATAGACTTAATTTTCAAATAACAAGCATTATCAACAGCCCCTACATATGATTTGAAAAAATATGAAAAAAGGCAAAAATGTGGCAATTTCATGGAGTTTGCCCTTCGTCCATGACAGCTTCAAGAGTGATTCACAGGGAGTTCAGAAAAACTTGACACATTGATGTGAGGCATTGTAAACCTTCTGTCCAGGATATCCCATCCTTTAGGGGGAAATCAAAGTCAAGGTAGTCAGCAAAGGGAGATCGAGGGTGCAGCAGAAAGATTGGGAGAGGGAGGAATGAATACATGTATTAAGCAGGCACAGTCGTAACTTGTAACACAGGATCTGAACTGTGAGAGTATAGATTGATGTTTTTCAGCTGGGTTGCCGCAAGACATCTCCAGGGGTGCCATGTGAGAATTTGAGGAATATAAAAGAATATATAAAATTTGTAATAACATTGACTTTGAGGAAAACAGATATTAGAAACTGCTTGACAAGTAAAATGAATTTTGTGTAATGAATTGAGGATTGGGGTGGCACAAAACTTGCTGTGGCTAAAAAAAAATGAAAAAGGGAGGGGGGGGGTGAAATATATGCTGCCATAGACTGTACCCTGTATATAGGCTCTATGCTTTAGTAGCTCAGAGACTGAAAATATGAAGGTAGGTTAAAGACTTTATTGAAGTTTGAAGAAGTGTAGAATTTAGCCGTCATGGGAGAATAAGAACATTACTTGCATTATTAGCATTTTCAAGTCCCAACTCTATTAATTATTCAACTAATAAATTCTACATTAAAATAAAAAACTGTTTTCTAAGCTTTGAACCAAAGTACATAGCTCATACTACATGTCATGTACCCTCATTATGAAATGAAGGGACGGATTAGGAAGGGTTTTCATTAATCAACTAATCTATATTTTCTTCGTTTATAATGTGCAAAGTGCCTCAACCCTTGCTTTTATCTTTTCCTAACTTTGGCCTTCCTTATTCTTAAAACGGCAAGCAATGCGGAAGGATGAATCACAGAGGAGTATGTACAATATATAAATAACATTTTTTATACAAGGTTACATTATTCAGTAAAGATTTCAAAGTATTGATGATTATTTGAAGAAGAACACTAGATATTGAGGGCTAAAAATCACTGATAGCAGAATTTGGTAGCAGTGATTATACACTGTTCTAAATCTAATTTCAGTGTACCAATCACCTGAAAAAAATCATGTACAACATGTAGAAAATCAACTTCAAAAACTTTACCTAGCATTCTACGGCCTAATGGATAAGGAGTAGGAAGATAATAACAAATATAATACAAGTCAGACCGTGCACAAGGAACTCAAGCTGGACTTAGGTTCCATAGCTGGGGGGTGTTTCATAAAGCTGTTCGTAAAGTTATACATGACTTTACGAACAACTTGTATATGAAAAGCCAAATGGGATGCTCAATCATCATTGATTTTTATTTATTAAGTTGAACTGTGCAGATGTAGATTAACATTCTTATTATAACAAACATTTTTAATGCAAAATATATTTTTTGCCATAATTTAATTGAGGTTATTGGAAATATCAGAAAAAAGTTTGGGCATCCTATCTGGCACTTCATATACAAGTCGTTTGTAAAGTCATGCGTAACTATACAAACTCTTTATGAAACACCCCCCCCCCAGGCCTTATTTTCATGTGGGCGCAAACCGCGTGGATCAAGTAGTCTACTCACAAGTCTCTTTAATGTTAATTGAGAGTGAATTTAAAGCCCCAATGCACTACTTATAGCTACTTGCACCCTCTATATATATAGCAAACAATGCTTAATCGGTGCCTGTTGGTCCCCCATGATCCCCTTTTTCTTAATTGAGAGCTGATTTGATGAGATAACCACCTGTCAGTGACCTTGCAGGGATGTCTAATTCCCCCTGGCAAAACTAGTACAGACAGGCTTTAAACTTCCAGACATGTCTTTATAGAAGTGATATTTGAAGTTCATATTTTGAATATAACATAGTAACATGGAAGTCCCAACATACAGGAAGAAAAAAATTGTGTGATGATTGGTACACTTTATATATTTTTTTTCTTCAATACGAAATGGGTACATTAATGAGATGAACCATGGTATCAAACAATGGTTATTTCATTGTTTGATACCATGGTTCGAATGGTGGATTGTAAGTTGGTTACCATGGTACTTTTTTATCAGGGAAAGTACAGTATTCAATACATCTTACCTCCTTCTCTTGGTTTGAGGATCAGGTCTACTGCTGTCTGCCATTGGTTCAACAGTAGGGCTCTACAGGGAGAGAGAGAGAGAGAGAGAGAGAGAGAGAGAGAGAGAGAGAGAGAGAGAGAGAGAGAGAGAGAGAGAGAGAGAGAGAGAAAGAAAGAGGGGGTGGGGGAGTAGAAGGAGATGGAGATAAAGGGTAAGATGAAAGGAAGAGAGAGGTGAAGGGAAGGAGAAAACAAGAGAAGGTGAGGAAGGGAGGTTGGGAGAGGCAAGAGTAGAGAGAAATAAAGAGGGAGAAAGAGAGAGAGAGAGAGAGAGAGAGAGAGGAGAGAGGGAGAGAGAGAGAGAGAGGGGGGGGGGGGGTAGAAAGAGGTTTGAAACCATTAGCTATGATTAAGAAAGACATATAAATAAAAATATTGACTCCAAAGTACAAACCTCTATAAAATTTGTCATGAATTGCTTTCACCTTCAGTTACATTGTTTCCTTATCAAATGATTAGCATATTAAAAGGAAAATCTCCTTGGATAATTCCACATCTACCTTCGGTTACAAAACAATTAAAAAGAAAATTACCCCAGAGCTGCATGGGGCACACTGAATTAAAAGCAAATTAATACAAGTTCAAACTTTTCAAGCCTGGAGAATTCTAATGCTCTATAACTCTAAATCTAAAAAATACATTGCTCGAACTTTTTCTGCAAGGGCTTTGTTTTACACATATTCACTCTCTCCTCTTGGTAAACCTAGACCTCCATCGATCTAGTAACAGAAAAATTATACATGGATATAGTCAGACAAAGAGTGACATTAAAAGTTGTTAAGTACTTACAAAAGAATTCATTTAAAAAATAGCAAGCTAATAACAGTGCAATAGGACAGCAATGGTATAATGAACATGTAGGCAACCACCTGTTCACTCGGTAAGCTGGTCATTATATGTTGTGGTCACTTATGTGCAGGTTCATTGTAGCTACTGACCGAACAGGCCGCAGGTTTCTGGTAGGGATCCTACCTCATCGAAACAGGGAGATAATCCTTGAGGAAAGAGGAAATTAAGAACATAATCTCCGTATCAAAATCTAGTGACAGCAATGAACGATGATGCTCAGACACTGTTTACACTTTCCCCAGACACCATTCCCATTTGAGAGAATAAGAGTGCTTAACTAGGTACCATTGATACTTGCAGTAGTGCTTCAACAATCAAAGTATCCTTTTTGATATCACCTTTTTTTCATCAGAAAATATTTGAACCATAAACTTCATTCCCTTCATGCAAGTTCATGATTTTTTTAAAAGTAAATAGAGTTTGGGATTTTATATTGTATGGAACCCTCATTTGTGACATTTTCACCAAACTTAGCCAAAAGGACAAGACCTACTGAAGTTGACTGTAGAGCTCCGCTGCTGAGCTGGGACCAATGTATGCAGTATGCAAGTGTTCGCTAGTGTAATTTGTCCTGATTAGCAACAACATGCTTCAAATAAACATCATTGCACAACTGTGCTAAGAAGCACTCTGTTTGAGCATTCTGCAAGACCATGAAGTACCTCAGTGACAGCTTCATGAGATGGAATTGGTCCAAGTTGGTCTTAAATTTGAAATCTAGTAATGCTACAAAGCCACTTACAAGTTTGGCAAGATAGGCCCAAAAAAAAGACCTCAGAAAAAAAGCAAAACTAAGTGCCTTGCAAGAGTTTTCTTTCTGATCAGTCTGAACCCACTGCCCAAAAGAACCGGATGGTTCCAGAGTGAACTCGAAAGGAATCAGAAGATTCAGTACAGGCACAGTGGAGCACCCCAATTACCGTGCGATCGACTCTCGTCCAGTAAACATCATTTGCATAAAATCAACAATTGTGTACCGATCAATGCGAAAAAAAGTAAACAAATTTCGAAGACAAATTCTTCATTAATGTGATGAATATCACCAATCAAAGCTACTAAATCGAGTATTGAATAAATTTGCAAGACACTCATGTGTATAAAAAGAGTTATTGATGCACAGAAAATGTGAAATTTAAGGGATAGTTTTGACGAACAAAAACGAAAAAAATGAGATACAAAATCACCGTAAAATTCACCATTTCTTTTAGAGCGAGAAAGAATTGCCTCGTATGAACAGAAAGAAAATTTAATAATCTCAATCGTTGTGAAATATCTCTTTTCATAGTTGCTTGATAGGGTCGCAACAGAGAAAAACATACCCCAATGTCCGAATCTCATCGAACAAAAATAATCCTTCGTTGTCGCAAAATTGTTTGACCAGTCCCACACATTCAAATGTGTGTCATGTCTGAACCTCGCGTGTGCGTTGGCTATACATGTCTTGCCAGCCGACTGCACACGTGCACGCTAATGGCTCAGCTGTTTCGATCTGGCCTGCACCGGGCCTAAGACGCATGCGCAGTACATCGCTGAGATCGATGACGTCATGTTCAATGAGTTCGCTGACTACAACTTTTAAAAATGAAGCCCCATGAAAAAGAACGTTATAACCAAAAAAAATACAGCGGAGAAGCGAAAATTTCGCCCATGTATGGATTCAACCCTAATGAATATTCATACCAAGTCTCTTTTTCGTGCATTGCTTGATAGGGTCACAAACTTAAAAAGTAGACGTCGTGTTTTTCGAGGGGCGAAGCTCAAAACACATTAATATCTCGAGTTTTATTCCATGGAATTTCGTATTTATTTCAATGACATCAAATTCATAATAATTTTAGTTAGTATGGAAAGTTTCATAGCGATATTGGCAGTAATAAATGCGCAACGCGAATTTTAAGATTTGACATTCTAGCACACACATGTTCGGATTCACGCAGATGTCCGTTGGTTATTCAAATAGAACGGGCCGCTAATGATATGCAAATTGGGGTGCTCCGCCGTGCCTGAGTAGTCCACTGGTTAATAAAGAACATTCTTATTTGGTAGTGTAAACAGGTCTTTGTGCCTGGACACCCAAGTCTGAATCATCCTGGGTCCTAGACACAATGTGGTCTGATGTAGAGTTTGTACCACATGGCAGTACGCCTTAGTATTTATTCAGACTGAGCACCGAAAGGTGGACCTGTGCGCTATACAAGTAGCCACTATTATTATTATTATTATTATTATCTGTACTGCAGATGGTCTGTTTGCCATAATATCCAATTTCCCTTCAAATGCCCCCGATTTTGTCAAGAATTACATTTGCGTATAATTTGGAAGCTATGGAGGGAGGTACATGTACCTTTCTATTGATCAAACCCCTGAAAACATATCCCTTTCACACATGAAATGGTAAAAAGGCTTCTCAAAAGGGCAGCAATTAAAAAAAAAAAATGTATAAACTGAATGGCAAGAGGGATTGAATATGCAGTTGAATGCAACATTAACATCCTTAGGTATACTCAATCCACATGTATGTTGTAAGATAGATATTTTGATATATATATATATCACTTAAATAGTGATCTATGCTTATTGGCAGTTTACTTTGGCTCTGTATTGTTTGTTTTTGTTCCTTTTACAGATATCTTAAGTGGTTTACAACATCAGGGGTGAAGGAGGCTTTCAGGGTGATTATGATCATGATACAAACATCTCTAATTACTTTACCATCTGATAAATCTGATAAATCTGATTTGATTACTTTAATGCCAGGACTTCAGCTTACAATGCACAAGCAGTTTTTGGAATTGTATCAAATATGATGGCTCCAGCAGGGGGGAAATCTCAAGGTAAGGGCTTACCACTGAATGACTTGGGAGAAAAGAGTGGTGTCAAATTGACAACTAGGAATGAATGCCAAAAATAAGAGTATGAGTAATCTACTAGGGTATCACTTCAGAAGGAGATTTCCATACGCCTTTGCCAAGACAAAACAAATTTTTAAGAAAGGAATAGTGCATGCAAAGATATTGTCTTTACAAACATATGTGCATAAAAGAAGCTCCTTTTGATTCAAAACTGAAAGAGACGGTTGCCTAAAGATTACATCAATCAATCACAAGCAACATCAACAGGCAGATTTAGTTATTTTAATATTCAGAAAACATTACATTCCATGGAAAGACGTTCAGGCCAAAGAATTTGCAATGATAAACTTTTTTCCCCTTCATTCAGAAATGCCACATGCACATGCATCATGAAGATTGCAAGCATGATACCTCATGTCCGAGCAAACTATCAAACACTGGGAATCAAATTAAAAATGAAATCTTGAAATGTCAAATTACCCAGTGGTAGATATTCTGCATATTATCCAGGCAACTAGCCCCCCCCCCCCCCTCCCTTCACTCTACTACCAATCAAGCAGCAACATCAGTAGAGGTTAATTGGCTCTACCCTTTAAAAATATTCTTTTGAGTTGTCAGGGTACCTGTACAACAATTTATTAAGTTATATAGCTTATACATTGCAATTTCCCTCAATCAGAAATGAAATGATGGGATAAATCTTGATCTGATAAAAATGAAGAATGAATCAAGACTGACTTACTGAAATAATTTCATCACAGCTTGTCGTTAGTCATCCCACAAGCCTACATAAAACCATTCCATACCCCCCCCCCCCCCCCCCAAGCTTGTACATAAAGGCCTGGGTCAGACTTCCATGATAATGATAAACTGTATGTATATACAATTTACTGAAAATTAAAATGACAAACCTGGTCAAACCTTACTGATTTTCCAAAATGATAAAATGGTTGGTTCTGTCAATCAAACACCATGGGCACAGCCCCTTATTCTTCTTTTGCCACTGACATCACGTCAAAGAAATGCAGTCCTTGGCTTACACATTATTGTTCATGTTTGTCCATAAAGAAAGTCATGCACTCTACAGAGACAATAACACTGCTGGGGCAGACTCATTAGTATAAACTGTTGAGGTCTGACTTTAATAGAACAATATCCCATTCATTTTCCATGTAAAAAAGAAGGGAACAATTTGGTATCTATACAGTAGGTTTGCGGGTGCACCAAGTGAGAGAGAGAGAGAGAGGGTTGAGGAGTCGTGAAAAGGACTCTGACTCAGTAATCTTTCTTGGGGGTGTGTAGTCCTGAAATGTAGTCCTAA